AGTGCCCGACATCCAATGGACGTGGGTCCTGGGAATTTTCTGAAAGGAGCATCGGGAGTGTAATGTCTTGCATTATGTGAAACCTGGAGGTAACTTTGGGTACGAATCCTAACATTGGTCTAAGCATGACCCTATCCAGAAAGAACGACAGAAAGGGTTCTTTAAACCCTAAGGCTGCCAATTCTGAGACTCTTCTGGCTGATGTTATTGCCAAAGAGAAATTCTGTTTTCGTAGTAAGATGCCATAGTGAAACAGGATGACTGAAGGTGTCTGATGAGAGAAAGTCCAACACCAGGAGCAAGTCCCATTTCAGGAAAATCAGAGGCTTGGGTGGTCTTTGGTGGATAGCTGCCTTAAAGAACTGAACCACCAAAGAGTCTGATGGCCGTAGGGTACCTGTAAAAGCTGAGAGGGCAGAAACGTGTGTCTTCAGAGTACTCACAGACAGAACTATAATCAACCCTGCCTGGAGGAATTCCAATAAGTGGCAGATTCTTGTGGTATCTGGTGCAAAGCCATGCCTGTTTGAAAATTCCACAACTTGCGCCATATCCTGCTATAGGCTGTGTTGGTGCTGTCCTTTCTGGCTCTCATCAAGGTATCTGTGACCTTAGTTGAGCAGCCTAGATTGATCAGCCTTTGCCTTTCAAGATCCAGGCCGTCAGTCTGAGTTTCTCTGGAGCAGGGTGCCGAACGGATCCCTGCATGAGCAGATCCAGTGTCACTGGCAGAGGGTATGGTTCTCTGATGTTTAATGAATGGAGTAGTGGGTACCAGGGTCTCTTTGGCCAATCTGGTATTATTGATAGAACCGTCACCCTCTCCTGGTGTATTCTGTGCAGCAAGCTGAGAATCACTGGAATTGGATGGAAGGCGTACGCAGTCTTGAAATTCCATGCCATTGTCAATGCATCCACCACCATAGCTTGTGGGTGGCTGATCCTGGAGAAAAAAAATGAGGTAGTTTGATATTCTCTGGGGAGGCAAACAGGTCTATTTCTGGCAGAAAGGCACATGCCACTAGACTCCGAAAAACCTGAGGAGAAAGGACCCACTCGTTGTTGTCCAAACTCGTTTTGGATAGATAATGCTCCTGGGTATTCACGCTACCAGGCACATACATTGCTGTTAACAGTTGTAAGTTGGCCTGGACCCATTCCATAATTGGAGTAACCTCCCTCAAGAGGGGAATGCTGCAGGTGCCCTCCTGTCTGCATATGTAGGCTACTGATGTTGTGTTGTCCAACTTAATCAGAACGGGTACACCATGAATTAGTTTTTTGAAAGCCAGGAGTGCTTGGAATGCTGCCCTCGATTCTAGAATGTTGGAAACCATATTGACAGCCCAGAATGGACCACTGGGCCACTTGGTTCCACTCATCTGTAATTATGTCCTGAATTTATTCCATGAATGGGAAGTTCACCCACCTAAGCTACATTGTATGATGTGGTCATCAGAGACTAATTAAATAAGTAAATGTATGTTAAAGTGTTATCACTTTATATGTTGACTTTCCACTCTGCAAGGCAAGTCTGTTTAACCAACTTCTTGAGCTCTAAACATCTAGATACTTAAAAATATCTATAAACGTTTATGATCTAATCATGAGAACACCCGGCTGTTTGGTCCAAATGGGCTGATCTGCTTATACAGTATATGGCCAGTGTTTCATAATGCATGACAAGAATAGCTGTGTTTTTTTGTAATCTTTGTTTAAATGTGATGCATACCTGCTCCATGACTGATTAGATATATAAGCCAAAACGAATCCAAACATATAGCCACAAAGCGGAAATATTGTTCCTAAAATCCATAACTTAGGTGCAATTTCCCATGATCCTTTATAAAGAACTCCACCAATGACGGCAACAACAACAATGAGAAGACCACCAGTGATCGAACCAATCTACCAGAGAAAAATATGAACAAGTAAATAACATTCATACAGTAAGCCAATGCCTTTTTACCTTACTGTTATTTACACAAATTCAAGACTTCGGATATTTCCAATGGCATTTTATAAAAGGAAGGTGGTCTTAATAGAGTATTAATACTTTCCAGTAACATCCAAACTCAAGATACATCTATTTGCTGGTTGTGTCTGTTGTGATTAATGGATTTCACTCATCTGTTAACATTAAAGTTGACCCTTGGACACAATGGGGTTTATTTACTAAAGCTGGTTCACTCAGAATCTCGTACACTTGTACAGATAAACGAATCAGCTTTCAGGTTTTATTGCTAAAGCCTAACTGAACAAGCTGAGGTTGGAAGCTGATTGGCTACCATTCACAGATGAACAAGATTCTGAGTGAACCAGCTTTAGTAAATAAACCCCAATGTTTTAAATATCTTTTTGATTTTATATTCCTCACTTTCCCACGCATCATGATCTTATTCATTTATGTTCCTCTGATAAGCATATAAAATAACTTGTAAGAGGTCCAGCTGCCGCTCTTCTTTCGGCCTCTCAGCTGACCCCAGAGCCATTTTTTTCAATGACACTGAGTCAGAAAGAGCACAGGGATGGTCAGGAACACAAGTGTGGTGCTGGGATCTTCTGTGAAGCCAAACGTACAGTGGCAGCTACACTTTCAGGGGGAGCTTACAAGTGCTTTTATATGTTTATCAGAGGAAAGTGTTGCATGCAGGGTAAGTGAAAACTATCTAAATATTTAGTTGAAAAATATTGTGCCCTGGGTCCAGCTTTAACACTATTGTTTATAGCATTTTGTGAACATACGTTTATATAACATAATACAGGCAAACTGGCTATGGCAATACATCTTTTAAATGTTTTTAGAGCGCATGAAAATAGCACCACTAGGGTCATCAGTTTGAATCCCAACCATGGCACTACCTGTTCACTGGTTTCCTCCCACACTCCAAAGACATGCTGGTAGGTTAATTGGATCCTGTCTAAACTGGCCCTAGTATGTGTATGTATGAATGTGAGTTAGGGACCTAAGGTTGTAAACTCCTAGAGGGCAGGGACTGATGTGAATGTACAATATATATATTATATGTAAAGTGCTGCATAAGTTGACAGCTCAATAGAGGTACCTGTAATAAATAAATAGAAATAACTTGGCCTGAAAGGCCACATTCTAAAGGTTTGCTTCCCTTTGACTACATGAAGCATGATGCAATTCAACTAAATGCTTGAGTGTAACCAACCATTGGGTTTAATAAACCTGACTTCACTGAGATTTGTTGTAAGGATGTGGATTTGAGAAACAAGTTTCAGGTATTTCATTGTTGCAGCTGATGCCAGGTTTGCACTTTTTAAATATGTCGCTTTACCAACCTTAAGAATTCTCTTTGCATATCTTGGCCATTTATAGTTAACAACAATTCCAAATCCAACAGGAACAACCAGGGCCACCAATGCAATACCTAAAATATAAATATTGGTAAAGCAAGTGGAGTTCCAGGAAATAGACAGTATTCCCTATTACTGTATCTTGCTAAAAGTATGGATTTCTTTGAGACAGAGATGCTCCTTCTGCATTTACTCAATAAGACATGGGCCTTTTCTGAACATGGTATAATATGCTGAAAAGGGAGAGAAGCTATACTGAAAAAACTGGTTTTATTTCTTTGTTTATTAAAAATGACAATTTCTGTTACGTTATACAACCACTTTAAAAAATAGCAGAATTAAACATTGGCAAATCAAAAATTGCCCAATTGCTGGTTTAGGTTGTTTTACTTCTCCTAAACAGAAGACTTTTTTAGCCTAAAAAGTTTCCATTTTATTAAGGAAAGCAAGTGAAAGCCAGTCAAGGCAGAAGTCTAAGTAAACCATTTAAATACATTTATTAGCTTGCTTTATCTGATCACCGAGTTTTAGTGGTTCACATGCCTACTGTCATACTGTGCTAGCAGTTAGGAGACTCCTTTATTTGGGATTAACTTTGCAAATTCCTATGTCACTACTCGACCTTCAGTAGAATAAATATCATCATGCTGCATGTTGTGTATTCCTTCTCCATTAAGCAGGAATATGAACTATGAAATATTAAATGTAACAGATATTAAAGGAAACATCCTCTTCCTGGTTATGCCAGTGTTGGAGATATGTGAATCACAATACTGGCTGAACAAAATTACAAACTATTTGTCATGTAAAACACACTAGCTATAATGTTAAGGCAATGATTTTCAAGTAATATGAAAGACTGCTGTTATTATAAAGGTATTTATAATGTTTGAAGCAATTACAAGGTTATAGCAACTCATAAGTAGTCTTAGGCTCACCAGCCTTATTAACTTACTAAATTGTATCCTAGTACCACAAACTGAAAACACTATTTAATTCATTTTTAATATTCAGAGAAAACTCACCTATCCATCCATATCTCAGGATTTGCTTTATTTTGTTGAAAAATCACTTTAAAAAACAACCTTGTAGCATTTCTAGCTGCGGCCATTTTGAGTGAGGGCAGGTGATTCATGTAGCATTTACTTCCTGGAATCTATCCGCCCTTAGCTCAGACATGCAGGCAGGAGGGTGTGCTTAGCTGAGAAAGCCCCTCTGCCCTTCCTCCAGATTAAAGAAAAAATGGCCGCTTGGAGTGTTTTCCATTATTCACAGGAGTGTCAGGTTACGATATATATCTAGGTATCTAGGATGTTTTTACTATGGGGCCATGAGAGGGCGGGAAGAGGAGGGGAGAGGGGAGGAGAGTATTTTTTTTCTCTTCTTTTCCCTTTTTTTGTCCTTTTTTTTCATTTTTGATGAAGGTATTAAGGAAAAGCTATGTCCTTTATGTTTTCAGTCCTTGTGACAGATTTCCTTATGTGGCTATCTTATAAGGTTTTAGCATGTCTATGATATAGTTTTACACATATATATATATATATATATATATATATATATATATATATATACACTGCTCAAAAAAATTAAAGGAACACTTTGAAAACATATCAGGTCTCAATGGGGAAAAATATCATGCTGGACATGTATACTGATCAGGGGCGGACTGACAACTCATGGGGCCCCCGGGCAATAGGGGATCACGGGGCCCCTGTGTCCTTGCCCAAACTCAAAAAAGCCTATGAAAAAGGTACCAGGGGCATCTCATGGGGCCCCCTACTGACCCCGGGCCCTCGGGCAGTGCCCGAGTTTCCAAATGGTCAGTCCACCTCTGATACTGATATGGATTGGGTAATGTGTTAGGAACGTAAGGATGCCCCATCTCTTGATGGAAATTACAATGATCAACTGGTAGAGGACTGAATTCAAAGACACCCCAAAAATCAAAGTGAAAAAATTATGCAGCAGGCTAGTCCATTTTGCTGAAATTTCATTGCAGCAACTCAAAATGGTGCTCAGTAGATTGTATGGTCCCCACGTGCTTGCCTACATACCTAACAATGTTGGGGCATGCTCCTAATGAAATGACAGATGGTGTCCTGGGGTATTTCCTCCCAGATCTGGACCAGGGCATTACTGAGATCCTGGACAGTCTGAGGTGCAACCTGGCGGTGTCCGATGCACCAGAATGTTCTGTTGGATTGGTATCAAATCCTTTATCCTCCAGGAACTACCTGCATACTCTTGCCACATGAGGCTGGGCATTGTCATGCACCAGGAGAAACCGAGGAATCACTGCACCAGCATAGGGTCTGACAATGGGTCCAAGGATTTCATCTCGATACCTAATTGCAGTCAGGGTGCCATTGTCTAGCCTGTAGAGGTCTGTGTGTCCCTCCATGGATATGCCTCCCCAGACCATCACTGACCCACCACCAAAATGGTCATGCTGAATGATGTTACAGGCAGCATAACATTCTCCATGGCTTCTCCAGACCCTTTCACTTCTGTCAGGGTGAACCTACTCTCATCTGTGAAAAGCACAGGGTACCAGTGGTGGACCTGCCAATTCTGGTTTTCAATGGAAAATACCATTCGAGCTCTATGGTGCCAGGCAGTGAGCACAGGGCGCACTAGAGGATGTTGGGTTCCAGGCCACCCTCATGAAGTCTGTTTCTGATTGTTTGGTCAGAGATATTTACACCAGTGGCCTGATGGAGGTAATTTTGTAGGGCTCTGGCAGTGCTCATCCTGTTCCTCCTTGCACAAAGGAGCATATACGGTCCTGCTGATAGGTTAAGGACCTTCTACAGCCATGTCCAGCTCTCCTAGAGTAACTGCCTGTCTCCTGGAATCTCTTCCATGCTCTTGAGACGGTGATGGGAGACACAGCAAACCTTTTGGCAATGGCACGAACTGATGTGCCATCCTGCAGGAGTTGGACTGCCTGTGCAACCTCTGTAGGGTCCAGGTATGGCCTCATGCTACCAATAGTGACACTGGCCCTAGCCAAATGCAAAAACTAGTTTAAAAAACAGTCGGATAAGATGAGTAGGGAAAAAAAATGTCAATGGCCTCCACCCAGGGGCTGACTGACAACTCATGGGGTCCCTGGGCAATAGGGGATCATGGGGCCCCTGTGTCCTTGCCCACATTCAAAGCACACCCAAAAAAGCCTATAAAAAGGTACCAGGGGCATTTCATGGGCCCCCCTACTGACCCCAGGCCCTCGGGCACTGCCCGAGTGCTCGAATGATCAATCCACCCCTGCCTCCACCTATAAAACCATTCCTGTTTTGGGGGCTGTCTTGTTGTTGCCCATCTTGTGCACCTGTTGTTAATTTCATTAACACCAAAGTAGCTGAAACTGAATAACAACCCCCTCTGTTACTCAACTGACCAGATCGATATGAACTGATGCTATATTCTGATTAAAAAGTGTTCCTTTAATTTTTTGGAATATATATATATATATATATATATATATATATATATATACACATCATTGTAATATATTTGTATTTGTTACTTTATATTGAAGATCTAACCGCTCTGAAAGATTTAGTTTTGTTATGTTTTATTATAATTTTGTTTACAAAACTAATAAAATTAGATTAAACAAAAAAAGATGTCTTCAAAGACTACTGGGATGGTATAACTTTAGTCTAGGGCAGAAACCCGTAAACAACTGAAGGACTGTGAAACAAAAGGTTAAAAAAGTAACTATAATATACAGTACCTTTATCCATTTACTAATGCTAGCAGCATATGGATTGAAAATAAGTAATGTTGACAGAGAAAGTGTAGTTCCGCTTTAAATATAAAAAAACCCCAACTAATACTCACTATTTCAACTATTTCTTATTTTGCTACTAACACACCACCAAAAAAAAAAGAGAAGAGAGAGTGGCGCGGAAACATCGAAGTTTAAGTGGTGGTGGGAAATATATGTTAATATTTCTAACCAGGTTGGCATTCTAAAAAAATATGTATAACAAAGAGATGGTTTTCTATATTTGTAATTACAATAAAACTTGGTGACTTATAGTGCCACTTACCAATACTATCATAAGGAATAACAATGGAGCTGGAATCCACCCATGTTTTAGTATAGAGGAAGAGACACAGAGGCATCATGCCTAATGCGAGGAGTGTGGAACAGGTTGTCATGCTTATACTGCAAAACAAATCAATATGCAGTGATGCTTTACATACATCTTATTTATTCAGAACAAATGGAATATAGCAGTCATAGAGAGAGCAAAAGCAGATGTAGAAAATCTAATGTTGCCCTCCAGTCTGCTATAACAATATATCTGCTAGTTAATGCAGCCAGCTGTATAATGAGGAATGAGGGTTAGTTAATACAATCTTTATGTCTGCCAGTAAATAATTATGAAGGATTTTTAAAATCTCGTTTGTAAATATCATTAGCATTTTATATGAATAAAATCCATTTTTTTTTATTTTTTTGCTGTTGTAATGCTTCGTTTGTAATATTTACAGAGATTGTAGCTATTTAGATTTTAGTGACACACTGGGGTTTATTTACTAAAGCTGGAGAGTGCAAAATCAGGCTCACTTCTACATAGAAACCAATCAGTTTCCAGGTTTTATTGCCAAAGCTTAAGTGAACAAGCTGAGGCTAGAAGCTGATTGGTTTCTATGCAGAAGTGAGCCTGATTTTGCACTCTCCAGCATTAGTAAATAAACACCAGTATCTATTGTTGGGCAAAGTGAATGTTTAGCCAAACCACAGCCAATTAAAACGGACCCTGGTGATTAACATGCATTATTATATTTTATTATACCAATCTGCCTGATATGGGTTTACGTTCAAAAACCCATTTGTTATCACTGTCTATTTCTATGGATCATCTAATGGTCTAATCTTTAAATTACACAAATACCATCCTAGGGGTGATTTACTAAAACTGGAGCACTAAGAATCTGGTGCACCTCTGCATGGTAGCCTATCAGCTTCCAGGTTATTTACCAAAGCATATTTGAACAAGCTGAAGTTAGAAGCTGATTGGCTGCTATGCATAGCTGCTCCAGATTCTGAGTGCTCCAATTTTAGTAAATCCCCCCCATGATCTTTGTGAATTATTTAACCTAGAATATTACTGTCATTGTCTTCTACTGCTACTTCAAATAAAAGTAGGACCTACCAGCCCTATCAACTTTCTGCTTTAGATTTAAGTAGAACATGGTAAAGTTCTTACTGCTGATTTGTTAAAGTGACATTAAACTCACATTTGTTATACAACAAAATAATTGCAATGTATTTAAATATAAATAGAATATACCTTCTATCCCTGTCTTCCTTGCTTTCGTCCCTCAAATGCAAGCTTTTTTTCTGCTATTCTCAGGCTTCCTGTTCTAGCGTGGCCACGTTTGATCCCCATGCCCCCTTGTGTATGTAAATGTAGCCATCATTTCCTGCTGGCCTCCAAGATAGACTACATATGCAGGCACATTCAATTCTATAAGAATTGTAGTACTCATAGTAGAAGTGAGAAGATGCAGAGCATGCACAATGCAAAAAAAGAAAAAAGAAGCCTGAAAGCAACAGTAAGAGACTCATTAAACAAACAAAAACAAAAGCCCCCCCCCAAAAAAAAAAAAAATCCAGAGCCATGGTATTCTTGATTGATATTTTAGGACAACTGATGTAAAAAATGTGAGTTTAGTATCAATTTAACTATGACAAGATTATGTAATGAAAGTATAGCCTTGATTCTTGATGTTTTGCAGTGCCATCTGCAGCACTTACCTCAAGTCCATGTCTCCATCTACCCAGTATGCAACAATGTTTGATCCAGTTCCTCCAGGGCAGCAGCCCATAATTATAACCACAACAGCTTGGACTGGAAGAATGTCAAAAGCCAGAGAAAGGACAAAGGCTGTCAGTGGCATTATCCCAAACTGACAAAGAAATCCTACAGCTATGCCCCAGGGATGCTTTATGTGGCCCCAGAATTTCTTAAATTCAACCGTGCAGCCCATGGAAAACATGACCAGAGCTAACATGATTGTGATCGAAGTGCTTAATACTCTGTTTAAAATGGCATTGAAGTTACTTTCCGGCAAAAGACAGGAGGTTTTGTCACAAATGGTTGCATGCTCAGGGCAGTCAGAATCATTCTGTAGAATCTGTGATGTTAAGAACACAGAGTATTCCATTCTGGATATCAGGGAAATGCTTTAAATCTAAGAAGTCGCAAAGTTAAAATCAATCCATCTAGCTCAGTTCTTTGACTACATGCTGTGGAACTTCTGCTCCTCCTATTTAAAGTGTATTAGATGCAATAAAAAGCTGTAAATACTTAGCTGGTACATGTCCAGTTCTCCTATCCAGAGCCTTGCTGTGCATAACGGAGTGCAAGAGTCCCACCATAAAATTCCACAACTACATATATTTTAACTTTTATGATATTTAATGAAGTTTAGTCATTTATTTATTTATCCTAATCTCATATTTATGCCATTATATGGGTCTCTGACCTATCTGGCACAGACCAGAATGCAACTGCTTTTTAGATAAAATATGCTTTCCTTAGATGCAATGTTTCAATCTGTGTTTTATACATTTTTCAGATTCCTATTTACAAGGAAAATCCACTAAGAACTAAAAAAAGAATGAAGTTTAACCATTTTTGTGGATATACCACAATTTCATATCACTATCACAGGTTGGAGATATGCTACATATTATCAGGGCATCACCTACAGTTGCAAGAAAACGTATGTGAACCCATTGGGATTACATGGAGTTTTGCATGAATTGGGCATAAAATGTGCTCTGAACGTCATCTAAGTCACAACAATAGAAGAACACAGTCTGCTGAACATAATACTACACAAACATTAGATGTTGCCATGGTTTAATTGCACATAACATGTAAACATTCACAGTGCAGGGAGGAAAAAGTATGTGAGGCCCTAGCTTAATGACTTCTCCCAGAGCTAACTGGAGCCAGGAGTGAGCCAACCTTGACTCCAGTCAGTGTGATGATATTGGATGTGTTGCTGACAGCTGTCCTGCCCTTAAAAAAACACACACATGTTTTGGGTTTACTGGTTTCAAGAAGCACTGTCTGATGTGAACCATGCCTCACAGAAAAGAGCTCTCAGAAGACCTACGATCAAGAATTGTTGACTTGCATGAAGCTGGAAAGGGTTACAAAAGTAACACATCTACAATAAGGAAAACATTGAACAAGAATGGAGTACATGGGAGGACACCACGGAGGAAGCCATTGCTGTCCAAAAAGAATATCGCAGCACGTTTGAAGTTTGAAAAAGAGCACCTGGATGTTCCACAGCACTACTGGCAAAATATACTGTGGACAGATGAAACCAAGATTGAGTTGTTTGGGAAGAACACACAACACTACTTTTTCTTGCAACTGTACCATGGTGTTGACAGTGGCTCTCTGGTGTTTTTCTTTGATCTATTGAAGATGGTTTTTTTTTTTTCATACAATGTATTGTTGAAAGCAACACAGATGAAGGTAGAAGGCATCTTTGTACTGTCCATGGCATTAGGAGAGCTGGCAGATTTTAGTTAGCGACTAAAATAGTGAGCACTGATTATGTGGCAAAAAGAGCACTAGCTGACTGAGGCTGCTTTCACACTGAGGAGTTTTTCAAGTATTTTTGTGCTAAAAAAAGCACCTGAAAAGCTCAAGAAAACTGCTTCCCTATGTATGTGAATGTATATCTATGTATGTTTTCACACTGAGGCGTTGTGCTTGTGGTGCGGTAACTCCTGCTTGCAGCATCTTTTGGGCATGTTTGGGGAGTTTATAAAAATGCCCCAAAAATGCCTCTTCCCATTGCAATCAATGGAAAATGCTTGAAAAACGCCTCTGAGAAGCGTTTTGGGTGTAGTTTTAAGTCACGTGTCCTTTAAAAAATGCAGCAAAAACGTGATAAAAATGCCTATGCATTTTTCAGGGGTTTCAGTGTGAAAGTAGCCTTAGAGCTGATTCACACATGTGCGGTGCAGATTGAAGGTCAGGTTTCACAGCTAATTGATACAGTAGATGTTCACAGGTTCAGGTCAGATTTCAGTCGGGTTCAGGACAGGTTTAGCTCAGGAGGATCTTATCTTGTTCACACATATGCAGTTTAGAAACAGTTCCCATAGAAGTCAATAGCCTGTGATCCGCACCTGAACCGGACCACACTGCTCAGAAATCGGATGTGACTCTTTTTCAAACCGCACTGAATCCGCACCACCAGTGCACCAGACATATGTGAACAGGCACCATAGGAAGC